GAAATAAGAATGCAGTGTTACTCAGAGCTAGTATTTCTGTTGAAAAGACTGCACAAACCAAATCTGTGGTAAGTATATTTCAAACACCATTTACTATTGCTGTAAATTGAAAAAATTAACCAGGGCATTGCTCTGAGGAATGGCTTGTGATTCTGTCTCCCAAATTCACCTAGGCTATGGTGCCTTGGAAGAGTCAGTTACCCCTCTAATCATGACTTTCTCATCCCTAAAATGAAAATCATAACAATGATTTTCCTACTCACATGCAGGGATTGTTGGGCTAGGTAAGTCAAAAATAGGGAGTGCAAAATAAGCTATTAAATCATTTTGTTTTTTATATCTACATGAGAAATGATCTTTTAATTATGGATTTGAGGTATTAGAAAAATACAAAAAGAACAAAAAATTTATTTCTGTGGTAGGAAAATTACTATTGAGAACAAAACTAATTTTTTAAAAGAGTGAATTTAAAGTCTATTTAAAGAAAAATATTAGGTAAGTGAGAGGATAGGTGGCATATGAATATGGCAGAAATGGTGAGGGTAGGTTACTCACGATTGTAGCTTGGGAAACAGTCAAACTAGAGGCCAATATTCTGGTTGTCCTTTTTCAGAGGGATCCAGCCGCTTGCTGGCTTTAAGACTTTGGGCAGATAGCTTTCAAGCTATGTCTCAGCTTCCACAATTGTTTAACCTTACTTTATACGGTTGCTGTGAGGGAGGCCAGGTGTGGTGGCTCACACATGTAATTCCAGCACTTTGGGAGGCCAAGGCAGGTGGATCACCTGAAGGTCAGGGTTCAGGGCCAGCTTGGCCAACACGTGAAACTCATCTCTATGAAAAATACAAAAAAACAAAAAACAAAAAACAAAAAAAAATTAGCTGAGCGTGGTGGTGGATACCTATAGTCCCAGCTACTTGGGAGGCTGAAGCAGGAGAATTGCTTGAACCCAGGAGACTGAGGTTGCAGTGGGCTGAGATCACACCATTGCACTCCAGCCTGGACAACAACAGCAAAATTTCGTCTCTAATAATAATAATAATAATAATAAATTTGCAGAGAGGATTCAGGGAAGTGAGGTGAGTGAAGCACTTAGAATAGTGTCTGCCACCTAGTAGGTATTCACAAAGTATTGATTATTATTGTCATATTTTCAATTGTATAATAATTTATCCTAACAGGTTATTTCTCAGATAGTGAGACCGTGACTGGAGAACAAAAGTCTCTAATATCCACTTGATAGTGTGTTTGTTGTAATTCCCTGCAAGTGTTATTTACAGCACCAGGAGTCTAACACATTATGATTCTAATATGGGAAAAGCGAGCTCAAATTGCAATCTAAAAGCCTAGATTAGCTAAATTTAGAGGATTTCTGTTGGTTTTGGTAAGCGTCTCTCCTATAACAACTATCCCCTCGTTGCTCCTTGAAGAATTGAGACTCTATTTACAAAGCAAACTCATAATATTTCTTATCATTTTACAAATTACTTTTGTTAGACTTGAACTTTTGAAACTGGTTGAGATGAACACCTAAAACTCTTTGAAATGAATAGAATTATTGATGTTCCTTTATTTTCACTCTTTTCCCTGGCTGACAAACAAGTTTATATGCAATTTCTTTGAGCAGGCCACTTGCATTCATTCCTAATAAGCAGCTTTCTATATATATGACCTTGCAAACCCTTCCAGTAAAATGAAATTCAAAGGTCACATTACTGGTCTTCTTGAAGTATCAGTGAATTAAAAGCCAGTCGTTTTGACTTCAGGTTATCTATTTATAATCTGCATTGTAGAAAGTCAGCTGATTATTCTGGGCCTATTTCTTGCCTGAAAAATGAAGTTAGACTAGATCAAGTTTTAATGCAGGGTTATATAGGGAGGGTCGGAATACTTAGAGAGGGATTTCTTTTTACTAGTCTTTAACTGAAATTTATCATTTCCTTCATTTGTAGGAAAGAATATACATCAACATTTATGGTATTTTTGTCATCAATAGAACTATATATCTATTTATTTATTATATACTTATTATACACTTACATTTAGTGTAGCAACCTTGAAGTATCATTTGATATCATTATTTCAAAACAGATAGTAGACCTTCAATTAGATCTTTTAATTTAAAGCATTAATAAAGAAGCATATATAATACTATAGCACATCACTAGGTTTACGTAAATATGTTGATAACTGTATTTTGATTAGAATTCGTAGTAATCATATATATTTTATTTTATTTATAAATTTTACATTGAAAAGCTGGCCATAGGTTTCACCAGACTACAAGAGGGACCTACGATTCAAAACCGTTTGGAGCCTTGGTATATGGATGTTTCTCAAAGCCTTTATATGGTACACTCTTGGGCCATAAAGGTCATCTTAGGTGATATTTAATGGATTGAAAAATCCAAATTATTTCCTCTTTGTGGGAAAATGATATGTCAGAATAATATGACTTCCTTTTTTATGACATACTAAGGGTCACTAACAAGTATTATTGCCCAAGTTAATTGTAAAGGCTTCTACAACTAAAGATTTATCAACTAGAAGTAATGTAATTTGGATTTGCTGAGGACTCTACTATCTGGCTGTCATGAAATTCCTTAGCAATTGTGTGTCTATCCCTGAAAAGAGCTGGAATTTTAGTTTTCAAGGAAGACCCTTCTTCAGTGCTACAAAACTCTTATCATGAGTTCATCATAGTTTTTAATTGTTGCTAATCACATGTACAGAATTATTATTGGGTATAATATGTGTATCATTTAGGGATTTGTTATTTTTTATAATTGCTGCCTTGTTACCATTTGATTACTTTCTTCGTTTTTCTTTTACTCATTTATTACTGCTGATTTCTTTATCCACTAGAAATAAGATAAATACTTTGGTAGTGGATGGCCTTAGTGTCCTTTATCCATTGTAAAAAGTTCTCTAAAAAATTTTGAGAACCAGTGACTTAGTTGATTACTTCTATTCCTTTCTCGTAATTCAGTCTGTTCTTTTTACTATGTTCTGTTCTATTCTAGACTGTTTTGTTCTGTTCTAATCTAGTCTTAAGTAACAGAACATTAAATCCAAAGTTTAAGCCAAGACTCTAACATGATAAATGTCAGAAAAAAACCTGATTTTTGAGACAAGAATTTCAAAGAAGATTCATAACTCAGTAATAAGATGCATAAAACCCTTTCCCAATTCAAACAAATGAAAGGGTCAGGTTATTGAGCTCGAAAAAAAAAAAGATTTATGAAGAGGATTTCTTTAAAAACTTATCTGCTATTGGGAAAAGTGTAGAAATGCTTCCTTCTTCACCTCAAATCAAGGGAGGAGAACTTCACCCAGACCCTTGGGGAGATTGAAGTTAAGAAGATATTGGGAATGGAATCTAGTTCCTACCTGAGAGATCTAAAGAATTAAGTGTTGGCAGGTGAGCCAAAAGAGAGACAGCTGTGTAGGTTTCAGCTTTTCTTCCAGTCATTCATGGAAACAAATGCCTCAAGAGTGTGTCATGTGAACCAAATGTACCCACCCACATTTGGAAGGGTGATGGGACCTCAGCAGACAGAAGCTGGAAATGTACCAACAAATTTCCAGGAGCTGTGGACATTGTAAAGAAGCCAGAGATTCATGGGTCTTACCAACCTGGTAAAAAGCCATGGTCCTTGACAAGAAGTCTGTTAAGAGCCCATGAGTGTGCTTCTTATAAGAAAATAAAGGCAGCTGTAAATGCCTGCCAGGTCTAGTGAGTGCAAAGCCATCCTACAACACTGCTGCTCCTCTTAGCCTTCTTCTCTCCCCTGCTCAGGAGTCCAAAGTAGCCAGTAGAGAGAGAGCAAAGAAGAAATGAGAGAAACATCAACCATACACACCCCACTCCGCTCCACACACATGCACCATTTTTGGGTTCTGTAACAAACCCAAGGTGGGAAAGGAGTCTTGTTTTTGTTTGACGATGTGTATTACATGAGACCAGACCTTCTATTGTCTGATTTGAGACTTTGGCAACTTAATGTGATCACAGGATGTTTTTAGTTCTCTAAGAATGATCAGGAAAGTAGTGAGACTACCTGACATTTTGATCTTGGCTGAGAAGATAAGTCCCCACCCTGCATACTTTCAAGACAAAATTGCTTTGTAATAGCACCTGATAAATTCTGTATGTCCACTAGTTGCATAACCTCAACAAAAATCTGCTGCAACTGAGTTGATACAATCCTACAATACATGTTAAAGGAATTATAACAAAGTTAATTGGCGCAAAGTTTAATTGTTAGAATATCTACTCAAACTTCAGACAGAAAGAACTTTCCATTGTATATGACTATTTCCTGAACTATCAAGATATTTCAAGTAACTGACTCAAAAATTAATTTCTGTTTATTTTGTTTACTTTGTTACTTATGTAATAAGACTCTTTTATCTAAACATTTTGCTTTATACTTCTATTTTCGTAGATTCTCTACAACCTCTCCAGATATGTTGAAAGATTTTTCCATGCTAATATTTTATTTTTCTTCAAAGTTTATATGGAAACTGAGTGATTCCAAGATTAGTTTGTCTTGACAGATTGTATCTTAAACACTACTATCCTTTCATACTCATTTTTAAAAATTCATAGCAACTAAGCAATGTGTGGTAAAAGACATTGATCATTAGAAGGTTTAGTTAAAGGAATTTGTTCCAATTAAAAAATATTCAGAAAAAAACATGATTTTTTACATGAGATTTAATAGATGTTTAAACATGTTTCATCTATTTTATTTCCGTATTCTCAGATTAAATCACAGCTTGAGAAAGTTATGTAACCAACAGAAGACAGCTTGTTATACTATGTAGATCCACAGGCTGAAATGAAAGTGTTTGGTATCTTTGAAAACCTGTGCCACAAAATCCATTGTAAAATTCAGTCTTCAACATTTTACAAAGTTCTTCAGTCTCCTAATCTTACTAGTTTTTTCCAAAGCTTTATTTTGTTTTGTTTTGGTTTTGTTTCCTTATGTTTTTAGGTGAACCTGATCTTCATAAGAACTCAGAAGACCTAGTAAATGCTGAAGAAAAACATGAGACACATTCATAGGCCTGAAACACCTTAAAGACTTCTGTCATTTTAAACATGAGAGGTAACTTTATTTTATAGACAAGAAACTTAACTTCTAAAATAAATGGTTTGCAGAATACCGTTAGAGATGAAATTATCTTATTTAAATGCCTTCCTAGATATTTTTTTTAAATCTCTATTAATCCTTTGAGACAAAATCTTAACAGGTAAACTTTAAATATTTACCTTTTCAAAGAGTTCTTAATTTGTTAATCAACAAAAATTATATTTACTGAGACTGAAATTTTCATTCTTTAAAAATAATTTTAAAAATGGCCGGGCACGGTGACTCACACTTGTGATCCCAGCACTTTTCGAGGCCAAGGCAGGCGAACCACAAGGTCAGGAGTTTGAGACCAGCCTGGCCAACATAGTGAAATCCTGTCTCTACTAAAAATACAAAAAAATTAGCTGGGTGTGGTGGCAGGCACCTGTAATCCCAGCTACTTGGGAGACTGAGGCAGGAGAATCGCTTGAACCTGGGAGGCAGAGGTTGCAGTGAACTGAGATCAGGCCACTATACTCCAGCCAGGGTGACGGTGCAAGACTCCATCTCAAAATAATAATAATAAATAAGTTCATGGGAATGTTTAATCCTCATTGCTTTTTCCATGTCATGTAGGAAATATAAATGTTTTAGACTGATTTCTTGTTTTATTATATGTAAAAATATGTTTATATCCAGTAATTAAAACAAAGCAAGTACATATTATAAAGCAAATATCATATTCATTAAAATCTGTGAACATGTGCATTTATGGTTCTCTTTTTAAAAATTCAGCTTCTAGGGCTTGTTTTCAGTCTATGAAATTATTAACTCTGGGAGTGATGCCTTGAAAATTTGAATTTTTGATAAGTCAGTCTGTTGATATTTCTGTCCACTAAAATTGAGAACTCATTTGTCTTGAACCGATGGCGGAGATATGGGCAGTTAGATAGGAGGGATGTGTATTTACAATGGAGATGTCTTAATATCTACTAAAAATAAGAAGAAGTAAAGAACAAAATCCAAGTGTTGTAACACATCCTGTTGTTGGGGTGGTGGGTTGGGGCAAGAGAAAATGCTGTGGGTACCATTCCAAACCGTAAAGATTTTGCTATTAGTTCCACAGCTGTTACTTTAGATGTGAAAGTGCTAAAACGTGATTCGCTTTTAAAATAATTTCTTCCTCAATATTCTTGAGTTACAAAGACAGTTAGTTGTAAAACTGTCTTTTATTCATAAGAATAGTTTCATTAATAGCAACAATAAAGTGTCAGGCACTGTGGTGGACATCTTGTATATATTATCTCACTGAATCTTCTCAACAATTCCAGAGTTAGTGAGTGTGATCCCTATTTTGTATATAAAGCTTGGAAAGAAATCAAGTTCAAAGTGACTATTCAGCAAAGAAAACCCCTCTCTATCTTTAACAAATATATTGTTTTATATGCTACATCAGTTCCTCCCCCTACTGTCTATCCAGACTATAAATTTATTACCTCGAGAGCCCGTGATCATTTTAGAAGACTCCTTATGTCCTCATGATACACAGTGAAGCCCCGGAGGTATATTTTAGGGAAAACTAATTCAGCGGAATATTTATAGATGTTTTAAGTCACAAAGGGTTTTGTTGGCAAATGTGTATCTTTATAAAACCAAGTAAAACAAAATTAAGAATTTTTCCTACAGGTCATATTCAAGCCAGTATACATCACATAGCATCAAAACAAAACTTTAGGATCAGCATTTCCTAGACATTTATGATAACGGATCTTAAATATTTATGAAAATTTTCCAAAAATTGTGTGTAGATAACAGGTTACCAATACATTTGTGAAAATAACTGTTCATTGTATGAAAATACCTAAGGCAATTTATATGCATACATATGTATATCTATATATGTGTGTGTGTGTGTGTATATATAAATGTATATCTGTAAGTGAGAGTCTGGCATTTCATCAGAAAAGGTTTTGATGAGATTCAGTTAGCAGTTAATGAAGTATCTTTTTGCATTTTTCTTTTTCCTTCTTTTTTTTTTTTTTTTTTTTTTTTTTTTGGAGACCGAGTCTCGCTCTGTTGCCCAGGCTGGAGTGCAGTTGCGCGATCTCAGCTCACTGCAACCTCTCTGCCTCCCAGATTCAAGCAATTCTCCTGCCTCAGTCCCGCAAGAAGCTGGGACTACAGGCGCACGCCGCCACTCCTGGCTCATTTTTTTGTGCTTTAGTAGAGATGGGGTTTCACCGTGTTGCCCAGGCTGGTCTCAAACTCCTGAGCTCAGGCAATCTGCCTGCCTCGGCCTCCCAAAGTGCTAGGATTACAGGCGTGAGCCTGAGCCACTGCACCCGGCCCCTTTTTACATTTTTCAACTAAAAAACCCCCAAAGCTAGAACAGTTTGAGGCCTCCTCAAACTAAATATAATATTTAAGCCCGAGTAGACGATTTGGCAATTTCTTTTTCTGTCAAGGCCAATTAAATTATTTAGCTTCCTTCTCAGTTTGAGAAAGCCCTGCCTTTGGTGCACAGTTTTCCAGGAAATGTGGTCTTCAGTAGCACCTTATAAATTTTGTATGTTCACTAATTATGTAGCCTCAATAGAATTCTGCTGCAACTGAGTTGATACAGTCCTACAATATATGTTAAAGGAATTATCTCAAAGTTAATTGGTGCAAAGTTTAATTGTTGGAATATCTTTACTCAAACTTCAGACAGAAATTCACATAGCTTCAAAAACAAATAGGTCTTTTAAATGAGGGAGATGGGCAAGGTCTAAAAACAACAGGAGTGGTGACAATTGGCAACTGTGACTCAGGCATGGTGTCTGGGAGACAGCAGGCAGTGATCAGTCCTGGAAACAGAGAGGACACAGCACCCCCAATCTGAAGGCTACAGTCAGCTTCTCTCTGGCTCTGACAGATTTTTACTCTGAAAGAGCAAGGGCCCAGTGTTGCCAGCTGTTTCTAGTGGTTAAGAAAGATTCTTTATGTAAACTCTTCCAATTTTTCCTGTTGGCTCAAAGTTTTTTGAAATGCTTTGTGGACAAGAAAAAATATGTCTGAGGGTCAGAATTGGCTTGCAGGGTTTCTGTTGCAAATATAGCACACCTTCTTTGTGACTGATAGCTAATTCTTTGCTGGCTGCCATCACAGAAAGTATAGATGTTATAGCAGCCTGGCCATGTCTCTGAAAGCCATTGCCTGCTTTGCTCTCAATGTGTAGGTGCCACTGTGAGGCACTTTCCCAGAAAATATTGAGCTCTAATTAAATCTGTGCCGTGTTGAGATTTCATAAATCAATGTGCAACACTACACTTAGGACAAGAAAAAAGCCCTTGAAATCTACTTTTCACATTGTTGTAAAATTTTGCCATCATTTCTAAGAGATTTTAGTCCATGAACGTGTTTTGTTTTGCTTAAATTTTTCTTTTATGTTTTTGTTTATTAAAGGAAATAAAATAGAATGGTTGGATGTATAATCCCAGGCTGCTTTGTTATTTAAAAAGCTAATGGCATATCATTTATCACATGATCTTTCTTGAAAGATATGTCAGGAAATTCTGGCATTTCAAAAGCAAGCCACTGTCAGACCTGTTATGCACTGGGAGGATAGCGTTCCCTATCGTGACCATTGCCTACTCTTTAACATTGTGTGCTATACAATAAGACATCAAAAATTGATGATTTGTGGGCTGTATTTAGTCAGTAGACTTGTCTGGGCTTTCACACTGATTTAAAATATCTTTTGGAATGTCTTTAGGCAGGGCTTATGTTCTTTAGTTGACTATGGTCCCTGTGAGTCTAGTTGTTTTACACTCACACTGGCCCACTTAACTCATTTACACTGCCTGCCAGGCCCATATGCCTATCTGATCTAGAGAACCAGTTTTTTGCTGGAATTGAACACACACATATACAAACACACGCACACACACCCAGAGCAGAAATAGGAAGAGAAATTCCAACTGATATAAAACCACTCTCTATTAGAAAGATAGTAGATAAAGAAAGCAGGCTGGGCACGGTGGCTCATGCCTATAATCCCAGCACTTTGGGAGGCCAAGGCGGGCAGATCACAAGGTCAGGAGATTGGGACCATCCTGGCTAACATGGTGAAATCCTGTCTCTACTGAAAATACAAAAAATTAGCCGGGCGTGGTGTCAGGTGCCTGTAGTCTCAGCTGCTTGGGAGGCTGAGGCAGGAGAGTATCATGAACCAGGGAGGCAGAGCTTGCAGTGAGCTGAGATGGCGCTACTGCACTCCAGCCTGGGCGACAGACCCAGACTCTTTCTCACAAAAAAAAGAAAAAAAAAAAATCCCTTATTTTTGACAAGGTATATAAAGTGCAATGTGAATTGCCACACAGTAATTGATACCTGTGTGTGACTAAGTGATGACCTTCAGTTTCTATGTTTTCTTTTCTTTTTATTTATTTATTTTTAAATTCACAAATAAAAATGGTGTGAACATGTTTTTTTGAAATTGTGGAATGGCTAAATCAAGCTGATTAACATATGATTAACATATGTGATTAACATTACTTCACATGCTCATCTGTTTTTGTGGGGAGAACATTTAAAATCTCTCTTAGCAGCAGTTTTCAAGAATATGATGCATTGGTTTTTAACTACGGTAACCATGTTTTACAGTAGACCTCTTGAACTGATTCCTCCTATCTAACTGAAATTGTGTACTCTTTGACGAGCATGTGCCCAACCACTCCCCACTCTTCCTTCTCTGATCTACATTTTCATTTGGATTTTATTTCAGGACAATGAAAACAGCATGAAAACATCCTGAGTTCTCAACTTTCCACAAAGCTATAGCTCCTCTTTCAACGTAGAATTGGATTGGGCCATTTTAATTGACTCCTATACAAGGAATTAAGAAGAACATAAATTTTGAGCTAGCAACTCTGGTCAAATAAATACACTCAAGTTTTTATCAGAGTTTTTGGCCAGTGCTTGTGCCATTTTTTTCCCTCCACAATTTGGCCTTCTTCAATCAAGCCAGAGGAATTTTTGAAACAAAAGTCAGACAGTTTTTAATTTTTCTTGCTTTTACTCTGTCATAATGACTGTGCAATGCATGTGCAGAAGATGAGATATTTCAAAATTTACTTCCTTGCACTGTCTTACACAGAGTGCTATAAGTATAAATTTTTCAAGGTCTTAAATAAAAGGAAGCAAAAACAACATTATGGAAAAAAATTTTTTTGCTGTGCTGGGGAATAGACTATTTAGATTGTCCTTCTTATTTTAAATGTATGGGAATGGAATGACAGGCGGGATGCTGAGGAGCTGGTTGAAGCATCAGAGCAATGCTACAATCCAACAGTGGAGCATTAGATCCCCAGCTAGGTGGCCTGATGAACACTGCGTTTGTAAACTCTCATACTGGGAAATGGCAGCGAAACCTTCTTCTGAACCCGTGTACAAGCCTGCGTCCAGCCCCATGGTTTCAAAGCACGAATGCATTACCTCCATGGGTGTGGTTACAAGTAAGTCACATGCTATCTACAGTTCATGATAACAAGACCACCAGCCATTGGTGGAGACAGACACTAGAATGGAAAATGAAATTTGCCAGTGGGATGTTTATCCCATCAGGATGTAACAAAATATTTTACCAGCCAAGAGATAAGAGACAAGAATGTGTGTGTGTGTGTGTGTGTGTGTGTGTGTGTGTGTGTGTGTTCAAAAATGTCTATGAAAATGAAAACCCACACTTTTCTGTACAGATAACATTATTTGACGTGACTTTTATATTTTACTACACAGAAACAAACTGCAGCCCTCAGAGGCCCTGCTTCCTTGTCATGTTTTGCCTGAGCATGTGCAAACCCTTTCCTTTGCTCAAAGCTGAAAAACTACCTTTATGTGTTGTTATCTGACAAGAAAAGTCAAGCACAATTAGATGTTGTAACTTTTCACTGTACAAGCATTGCAATGATTGTGAGCTTCAGTGAATTTATCTTTGTGAAAGGTAAAAATTGGCTGGAAAGAATCAAGAGTAGCCATCAGTTAAATCATGTGAAGGAGGATCCATCCATCCTAACGAGTTTTCTGCTGCACCTGCTTCCTTCCTGGGTTCCACTATGTTAAGCAATATTTTAGAAAAGGGTACAATCGGAAGCTTTTAAGCCTAAGTGGTGAGATTTTATAACTCACAACTTAGATCTCTTTTAATGTGTAAGCCATATTCTATATGCATAGTTAGTATGCATCATTGTAATTTAAGATATATTTGGATGTAGGCTGTATAAAATGCTTTTAATTGTTCTGTGAATAGATCCTTGGCTTTAGTGTCACCTGAATCTTGTGCAAAACACAGCTAAATAATTGAATTGTATCATAAACATTACAATGTAATTGATATTTTAAATGTAAGCAGTAAGATTGATCTATAATAATGTGCTGGGAAAAACATTTATAGATATGTACATCATGGTTACTTTTTGTCCTTTCAAATGGACTTTTTATTTCTATTTATGGAGAGACTGTAACTACTGCTTTTAATGTCTTTTTAAAGCAAACTATTTACCAGCTAGAAAATATTGTGCATTTAAAATAGAATCTATCTGGGGAGTGTAATTACTGTTGTTCCTATTTGAGCCAGTTGTCTGTCAGTAAAGCTATAGAATCTCTCGAAGAAGTAAATAGAAATACTATTTCTTAAATGTCATAGGAGGCATATCCACTTTGTTTCTATCAATATTTAAGATCTATAAGACCTTATTACTAAAAAGTAGAGGAATATAAAGAATTCATCAATTTCTGTATATGGGCTTTAACCTAATTTCCCAGGTTATGCGACTTACAAAGCACTGTGACCAAACTTCCAGAGAGAGTGCAAAAAAAAAAAAAAAAAAAAAAAAAAAGTTTTACTCCTTCAGAAGATTTGTCATGCTTCTGCTGTACTTATTTTCCTAATCTCTCTCTTTCTATCTGCTACACTCCCTCCTTCTCTTTTTTTTTCTTTTAAGCTTTTATATTTCTTCCTTTGTTTTCCTCTCTGTAAGACAGCTACTACTTAGCACTAATTAGTAGAAGGTCAGAGTGGAGGTTATCTGTGCCTGTCCTTTCTGCAAACATTACTGTTGAGCCCATCTGAAGAGAGGGATTGATAGGTTAGGCTGCTGCGCCTTGAATGTACTGCTTTGCATTTTTAACCTCAGCTTCCCAACACATATATCTTGGAGTTTATATGCCTTTTCATTTAACCGAAACCTCTTTTATTTAATTTTTAACATGACAACCTACAATTCTTGTGTTTTTATTATGCTGTATTTTTCTGTATTTCTTATTACATGTGATTGCTAAATAAATCATGTTTGACGGAAAACTTTGTGAAACATTTGGCGTTTTATGTAATTCAATTTAGTGGGGCATTGAAAAGTTGGAGAAATTGGGGGAAACTCAAAGGAGACCAACTTAAAAATTGATAGGAGTTTTGTAAGAAAGTGCTTTTTGCTCCTTTAAAGAAATACTGATTGAATTGCTTATTATTATACCTATTATTCATAAGCTCCTGGCTGGAAGCATGGTGCACATATGAATATGGAAACCTTTCCTCTAGAAATTTCAAGTCGTATAAAGGAGATAATCTACACAGACTATAATTTATACATAATAACTAAAATGCCGCATAAAAATGTAACGAGTTGCAAATAAAATGCACCTATGTATATTTGAGGAGGTAAAAAACTGCTTCTGTCTTCAGAGCTTTCAAGACTAAGTGGTGCATCAGTTGGCATTTAACGAATAAAAACAAAAGTTTATAAACATTGCCTATTTTCCATGTGTGCCCTCCATGCAAATGCTTAACAATATTATCTCAAATCCTCACAATAATACAGTAAAGTGGTGTTGGTATGAACAAAGGAAACCAAGTCTCAGAGAAAAAGCTTTGTCCAAGGCCATACAGGTCTCCATTGGCAGACTCCACACTGGATTTGCTTCTATGTTTCTCCAGCACCTTGTTTTCTTTCTACAACATCCACATGGGGCTGGGCAGAAGCACAGCAGAAGGAAAAGCTCTGTGAAGAAGAGCAACGTGAATACGGCAACACCAGAGAAGAATAAAGAAGCAAAGAGTGTTGAGTCAAGGTGAAGACCCAGTGAGTCTCAATTAATTGAAATAAGAGTAACTGGCATGATATGTGTGAAACCTTAGGCTGTGTCTCTATGAAGCCAATGAATTCCAGAACAAGATGTAAAAACTTAACTGGTCATCAAATATGTGACACTTAGCTGAATTTTTTACTTTAAGTATGATTACATGATACATTTCCACCTAATATCAAAAGTTTTCAAAGGCTATATTTTAAATATAAAAGTCTGTATTTATATTTAGAAATATAATTTAGATATAAAACACATATTTCCTTTGGAAGCTACAATATATTAAGCCTTCTGTCCTCTGTTTACATGTTTTTCTAAATACAGCAAAGCTTATCTGCCATTTAGTACAAGTCCTAGACAATAAAGACAATGTATATTTTAGAGTCAAAAAAGCAAACACCTAATAATGTCCTGCATTATTACATTATTCTTTTAACTTCTTTGGAGGTAATTGTAAATATTTAAGATACATTTTCTATATATGAGCCAACATTATGTTTAAAGCTCTAGTTGGGGCTTTCTATCCCTTAATGACATTAATTAATTTCTACGTAATTTGCTTAATATGTGCAAAGGTTGGAGAGTTTCCTTTGCAACGCAGTTGATATATTTTATCTCTGACAATTAAAGAGTATAATTATGTAGTTTTCATTTATTGTAGTGATACTAGTGCATTATATTATTTTCTTACATTATCTCTTTTACTTCCTACAACTACTCTGTAAGACATTAGTATTCCTTATTATAGGTAAGGAAATGTGGCAGAGGAAGGTAAAATAATTTGTGTAAGGTCAAGCAGCTAGTAAGTAGAGGAACCCAGATTTGAAGTCTAAGGGAGTCTGACTCAAAACCGCTAGGCTAGGTTGCCTCTGGCCACTGAAGTAGGATCTGTCATGTTTTTTCTACTTATGATATTCATTACCTTCCTTTTTTACTCTTTGTTCCGTTTTGCAGGCTCTTGTCCCTGAAAACTACCACTTTGAGAAGGCAGAATTTTCAGTGACCAACAGCAGGATTGTGTGTGCTTTGGTGACCAATTTAACCATGTATTACTGTAGACAAGCTGTCTTTTATTTTTGTGGATGGGAGAAGCCGTATTCCATGCTTAATATATAACTGTAAAATGTCCTTTTCAAAAGTAACCACTGGTCCTCACTCTAGATTCTTGTTGCTTAAAATATGGTCCACACCTGTGAACTTCTTAAAAATAATCTCAGGTTTCTCTTAAACTGGAATTGGCATTTTACAAAGGTAACTATGCAGTTTCTATACAAATCACGGTTCTAGATAGTCATTACATACTATGGAGATAATTCTAAGTACCTACTAGCCACTTAAATACAAGGTTGTTTTTCTTCACAGTAGAGGTTTTTAATAAGTGCCTTTGACTCCTATACCCTTCCTCAGGTCTGTCAGCAAACATCATGGAACAAAGGCCAAAGGTTCAGGCTCTTGTGTCATTTAATGAGGTGTATATATCTGTATTGATGAAATGTAGTTCCTTACGTGAATAATTAGAGGAGGACTTGGAAGAAAGACATTAAATGTGTGAGCATGACCATATGGCTTTTAGAGCAAAAAAATCTTTGAAAGCAAAATTATTAATAAGAGGCATTAACATAGTTGATTGATCCTGTTTTCATTGGCCTATCAAATATTGTATTTGAATTATACAGCATACGAAGGTCAACTTTACCTTGCACAAGTGATAAATACATAACTGTTAGCCTAAAAACGTAGTTTGAGGTGTTTCACTCTTATCTGTCAGCTTTTTTTAAAACCTTAAAGTATAGAAAAAGTTATGGAGAATATGCTTGAAATGTATGGGATAGGATGAGGGAGAGGACATTAAACATTAGAGCTAATTGACAAGTCTAGAGTGGAAGGAAAAGAGTTTGTGTTCAGTTTGGAAGCAGCAAGCCATCTGAATTCAGAAACAATACACAAGGGAAAAAAAAAAGAAAACAGGGAGCTGAGATTGGTTTATAGAAGGAAAGGGAGCTGGGTGTATTTTCACAATGACATAAGCCCAGAGAGTGTGCAGGATGGGTAGCTGGGAGACCTCATTCCATCTGAAACTGTGGGGTGAACCACACAGTGAGAAAAAGGTTCATATTAGGCAGTAGGAATGAGGGAGAACTGAAAGGGCAAAAAGATGGGCAGTGTGTGAGATGACATTTGTTCTCTGGTTTACTGAAGAAGCATTGGCTTTGGGCAACTGAATTTGGTTGGGCAAATTTTTCTGCATATGGTACAACTTTCTGTCTTTTTGAGTCCTGTATTTGCGTCCCATCATAAGCCAATCAACAGTGTAATTGTTTCTTCTGTGGGTGTCTTTTTTCTGCTTGGGATTTGCACATTGAAAAAGGCTGAAGCATGCATAGGATTCTCAGGAGCCTCCCCTGACCACGAGGACTTTTAAATTAAATAAATACAAAACTCACAACATTTAGCTTTTCTCTAGGCAAAACCAGGCTCAGAAAGCCCCACTAACGTGGCAACATCATGCCTTCAGGTGTTTCTTGCTTTCAGAACACAGAGTTAGACAGGCACCAACCTATTCAGAAGTCAGATGCTCCCAAGGTAATGGGAACTAAGCATGTGAGGAGGTACAAAACCAAGGAGCGGTAGTATTAATCCATGTGCTGTAATTTTAAATTTTAAAATAACAGAGAGACCCAAGGCACGTTTAATAAACTTCCAGAAGGTAAATAACAATAGCCACTAAATGATGTTATATCTTGAAATACACAGCTGAGGTGTACACACATACACACACACACACACACACACACACACACACACACACACACACACATATAAAATCATCCTGATCTCATACATTTGGAAGAAAAAATTAATATTATGAAGATCTGTAGTGAGCAAGAGTTTATACGAAGAGCAGGAATCTATTTTTTTCCAAGTCAAACTTTTTTCTGTCGATACGATCCTATAAATTATCTTTTAGAGACCACACACCCCCTAAAAAAAAAACTTTTTTTTTTCAAAATCCTTAACTTCGGATGTTGATGAAGTGTTTACTTTTACCCTCGACTTCATTGGCATTCCATCTTGCCATTTCTAAATTGTTACCTAAATATAGATATAAAATATGTCCTTTTTAATGTGCTCATCCCAGAAGTTATTAAAGTGCACTAGAATTCATTACTGAAAATTGATTTTCTGATGAATATCATACATGCATATGAACAAGTGAACATAAAAATATATATTTATAATTAAGAATATTCGTGTGCATCAAGCATGAATTTTACCTTAGTATGTGTGTGTGTTTGTGTAAATATTAAATTAGAGATTTCAGACGGGCGCAGTGCCTCACACCTGTAATCCCAGCACTTTGAGGGGCTGAGGCAGGCGGATCATGAGGTCAGGAGTTTGAGACCAGCCTGGCCAAGATGGTGAAACCTTGTCTCTACTAAAAATACAAAATCAGCCGGGCTTAGCGGTGTTTGCCTGTAGTCCCAGCTACTCGGGATGCTGAGGCAGGATAATCGTTTGAACCCGGGAGGTGGAGCTTGCAGTGAGAGGAGATAGCATCATTGCACTCCAGCCTGGGCGACAGGGCGAGACTCCGTCTCAAAAAACAAAACAAAACAAAACACATAAAATAAATTAGAGATTTCAAGTCTAAACTCCTTGTTTTCTAACTCCCGCTCCACTCATTGAAATCACAATCTTCCCACTGAGAAACAGGAGCAAATGACAGCTACAGTACCTTTTAAGTGACAGTTTGTTACTTAATTTGTCTCAGATTACAAAAGTAACATGCATTTAATCTCTTGTTTGTAAACAAACTCCATTTTGTTGTTGTTACAGATAGCATCTACACGGCATTCTTCACTTAGTCTGCAAGGTAGACTAGACATTCCATGGGGTCAGGGGTTTGTTTTGTTACTTTGTTTTCCCATAGCCTCACATGGCTTGCACACAGCGTAGCCTGACTGCTTTTGATTGAATTCGTTAGGTTGAAGTCAGCTATATATTCCTGAAGCCTTTCGGGGTTTACCTCTTAAGGTTGTTGTGATAATTAAGTATATTGATAGAGGTAAGGAACTTAGAGCCTATTGACTCATATACTTCAGTGTTAGCTATTGTTTGTTCATTTATATTGGCATTTGTTCCTGGCTATGCGAGGCAAACCTATTAGGTTGGTGCAAAAGTAATTACAGTTTTTATATCTGAACATGCAATCACTAAAAT